GAACCACTGCCTAACTCCTCAGTCTTAAGGTGACCTTAAGGTGTCTCTGATGCCCCACTTCTCCACACTCTACGGAAGGAGAGAGTGCCAGGCCTGGCTGGCCAGTCAAAGCATGCAGCTTCTGGCCACATTGATAGGTCAGGGATAGGCAGAGTGTCCAGTCGGAACCAAGGAAGCCGAAGCCTGTGAGCTTGGAGCTTGAAGGGTGTGAGCTACAGAGCTGTTGGCATCTTGGGGAGAGGCCTGCCCATGCAGGAAGTGGCCAGTCAGAGTGGAGAGCAGAGCCAAGGACAAAGAGAGAAGGGGCCCAATAGCATCACTGAACATAGAGCCTTCAGGTGTGGACCCCTCGGTTGCCTCCTTAGCTGAAGTCCTTGTCATCAGCAACCCAGAGCCTTGGTCATCTCTCCCAACCTCCAGGGCCTGAGGTTGCCTCCTGAGAAAGTGGCCAGCTGCTTCCCATCTGCATCCCATACTCTCCTGATGCAGAATTCTGTCCCCTGGAGCAGCCCATTGACGACATACGTGTACACGCATGCACACAAGAACGAATGCACGAGCGCTCCATTTACGGGGTCTATAGCAAGGCCTGACCAGGTAGGGACTGCTCCAGCCTCACACCAGGGAAAGCCCCTGACCCATGCCTCTCCTGCCCTTTGTTCTGTGGTCCCTCTTGGAACTGGGCCTTGTCAGTTTCCCTGACCATATCCTCTATACCCTACAGTCTGCTTGGTGGGGTCCTCGCCCCCTGCCTGAACCCTGGCTCTCAAGCATGGGGCCCTGCTCCTGAAAGGACAACCTGGCCCAGCTATAAGCCTGCTGGCTCCTAGAGTGACAATGGGGGAAGAGCGGTGCGTAAAAGGAACTTCTATTCGCCTGCTTCAGTTGTCCTGCTTTAGTTGTTGTCTTGGAAGATTACAGCTCTGCTGTCCGTTAACCTAGGCCTAGTCCTGGAAGCCTCTAGCCTCCGTACAATCTAACCTAGGCATAGAACGTTTTCAGCCTCTGAGATCTGCTGCTTAATAAGCTCACCCTTTCTTGCTCCTCCTGAGCTGTGGGATGGCTGGCTCAGCTGATCTGGGTCAAACTCTTCTTCCGGCTAACTTATTCAGTCTGGCTTTCTCTCCATCTCCATCCCATGCTCTGCTTGGCCTCAAACTATCTCCAGAAACCTGCTCTAATCTCCTGGCACCTTCTCATTTTCTGCCTCATTCGGTCTTCACCTGAGTTCTCTCTCTCTCTGCAACCTGCCTCTCTATTACTGTCCCAGTAAAAACTGCCTGCCCTCTCTCTGCATTGCCCCTTAAGTAACTTTTCTTTCCTCTCTCTTCTCTCAAGGGTTGGGAATATCCTATCCTGTAAAATCTTTCTCTGATTCATCACTATTTCTGCCACTCAGTTAAACATCACTTTCTAACTTGGGTGCTTCCTTCTGCAAACGAACTTTACCTTCATTGTTTGAGATTAAAGGCATGCACCACCATGCCTGGACCTAAGCTTTTTTTTTTTTTTTTTTTTTTTTTTTAACCTGGTACTTGTTCCATACCAGGCTGACCTTGAACTCAGATCTGCTAGCCTCTGTCTCCTGGATTAAAGGCGTATTTGTATTTGTCTGATCACACAGACCTAAAAGATGTGATCTCTTGCCAGAACAGCCATGTTCTGAATTAGCATTTCTCTATGGCGGCCCCTAAGTCTGCTGAGCCCATCCTGTGTGGTGAGGGGTGATGTTCATTGTTGGGGTGGGGAAGGTGGGACAAAGCCAGTTCCTGTGTCGTAAACCATTGCTACGCTCACCTGGATGAGTCCCGTGTGCCCCAGAATGAGGACGCAAGTACTGCCTCCTGGGCTTGTGGGAAGACTTGTGAGCAAGTCCCAGCTCTGCCTGCAGGCAAAGGTCCAAACCCAGCCCAAGGGTCTCAACACCTTCTGCCAACAGCCTTGCCTGGGACCGAACAGGGCCCGCTTCAAAGTCACTGTCCTTCCCTGGAGATGTGACCTGGAGGCTGGGTCCCTTCGGTCTCCCATCTAATCCAGTGTTTGAGGGAGGCATGCATGCCCAGTCACACCTGCACAAGAGGACCTGGCAATGTCTCCCCCTCACCTAGAAGTCTCCAAGCCTTCCCACCATCCTCCAGACTAAGCCCAAAGTTCAAGACCATCTCTTGAGACCAGACAATCTCTCAAGCCTCTTTCCGGGCTCCGCCTACTCGCTGGCCTGGTGGAGTTTACTCCAGGTCTGCGGTCCCACCCAGGACGTCCCATATGCCTCTCCCTGCCACTCAACGTGTTCCTCCCGCCTCCCTTGCCCCTCTACGTCCAGGCTGAGGCTGGCCTCTACCAGGATGCCTTCCCCATCCCCGGCCTTCCTGTTCCCCCATTCCACAATCCTGGCTAGAATCGCCACATAGTTCATCCTCATGCCTGTGGTCCTTCCCCCGCACAGTGAGTGCAAATTACCAGAGGCCATGGGGCACTTTCCATTTTATCCCCATCACCTAGTGTGCACTCTGCCTTCCCAGTGGCTTCACTGATGTATGGTGAACTCATGTGCACGACTGAGCCGGGGAATAAAGAGCAGTTGCTTTGTGAACCTGGCTACTCAGCTCTCCTTCCCCCAAAGCCCTGAACCCCTGCTGACTTCCACCCTTTCTCTCAGGTGCTTCGTATCCTGTGTCCTCAGAGGACTTTGCCTGTCCTCCAAGGATCTCCTACCCTCTCCCTATAAACCCATATTGCCCAGCAGGTCCTGTCTCATGATTACCCAGCTCTCTAGAAACCCTGGGCACAGACCTCTTGAGAGAAGGCATGGGACCCCAGTGAACATCAGCGATGCAGGGGGATTTACACCTCGGGATCCTAAACCTTCCACCCCCGCCTCCCTGTGAGACAACGCCTGGACACTCGGAGCCTGGTAGCCAGCTGGTGAGAGACGCAGGCAGTGCTCATGGGTGCTTCTCAACTTGTTTGCTTCAGTTTGGGATCCTTAAAAAGAGCCCGGGCCATCTTTCCATTTCCATGAGGAGGACCCAAGACCCACAGTTGGATCAGGATCACACAACATCAGCCAAGCGAGGCCGCAGTGTCAGCCAGCCAACCTTTGCCCCTTTCGGTCCTGTTCTTTCCATGGCCCCTAGACTGGCTGGGTCCCACTGTATTTGTTGCACAACTGAGTGACAGCCACTGTCCCAAAAGGCCTCCATGCTCATTTCTCCTTCCTACCTGAGCTCTGGGATCTTCAGGGTGGTGCAGCGCAGACCACAGACAAGGCTAGAGAAACTGTAGGTTCTATCAATTTTTTTTGGGGGGGGGGGGTGTCAAGGCAGGGTTTTTTCTGTGTAGCTTTGGCTGTCCTGGACTCGCTTTGTAAACCAGGCTGGCCACAAATTCATGATGATCTGCCTGCCTCTGCCCCCACCCTACCCCACCCCTGAGTGCTGGGATTACAGCCATGCACCACCATGCCTGCTAAACTGCAGGTTCAATACCCAGCCCTCAGCTCTCTGGAAGCCCTGGACACAGGCGTCATATGAAAGGGGGCAGGACCCTGCCTGCAAGCTCCCAGTGGACTGAGCTCTTTACAAGGGACAGACAGTGGGAAAGCCAAAATCCGCATGCTGTGGTAGGCTCCTGGTCATACCAAAAGCCCAGGCAGGCCAGCCTGTGCAGGCTACTCAGCCACAGAGCCTCAAGGGAGTGGCTGGAACCTGAGAATGTCCCCCTGCATTGTTGGTAGGCCAGGCTACAGGGCTCAGATTTCCTTTCCACAACTGAGGACTCACATCCGTGGCAGGCCTTATCAAGTCACCAGGGAGCTGAGTGGTACAGGTGCCAGGATCTGGGAACTAAAGGAGGAGGAGCCCTCCAGGTCAGAGAGGAGAGAGGACTGGAGCTCAGAGCGCAGAGCCCAGGAAGGGCAGGGGCAGAGCAAGAATCAGGAGTGTGTCTGTACAGGGACTACCGCTGTGACTGGAGGACAGAGGGGACACACAAGAAAATGGGGCTTCCAAAGCGGCAGACAGCATAAAGGGGACTAGGCCAACCCAGGCTCGGCAGACCTCCCCATCACCCCCACTCGCATGTGTCCACCCCAGGGTTCCCAGATACCCAGGAGAGACACCTAAAGCCACACTCCCCTCCAGATACAGCCAGAGGGATATGAAGACACGGTGAAAACCCTGAGAACCTCTCAAGGCCACCCTCTCCCCGCTGCCTGATATGGGGGCAGGGTACACACTTGATATCTGAGAAATGAATGCCTGAACAGACGATCCTTCGTGACACCGTGTCCTGGAGTCCTGTGGGTTGCAAGGACCAACCCACAGACAGGAACCCAGCCACCGCTCAGCCTTTCTCTTCATAAACTGGGGGTGATGGGTGAGCCCCCTCTGGCTGGTTACTAGGAGTGCTGGCTGAGATCACGGGATGAACATGAGGCTGAGCAGGCCAGACGTGAGCCGCTCTAGGCCTGTCACCACTGTCGTCTTCATCGGCACCGTGCGACTGTCCCCACAGCCCCCTCATCACAGCACCCCAGTGCGTGTGCCTGCATCCACATTATCCTTCCTCCTGGTCCCCAGTCACCATCTCTAATTCCATCCCGGGTGTAAAGCGAACCACATTTAATTGTTTTTTCCTCAAGGAACAGGAAAATCACTTAGAGTCAAGAAAGGGTAAAGAATTAACTGGAGAGAGGAAAAGAATCAGGAATATATTAAGCTTTTGGTTGGAGAAAAAAAATGCATACCATCTCTCACACACCCATTCTCTGCATTTTTACCTGTGCACACACCCTTTCTCCTGGACACACATGGGCACACTCAGGCACACACAGACGTCATCACTCACTCCCAGCGGGCACAAGCACGCATCCCTTCCTGCTCCTGGCCCTAGCACAGCAGAGGCTGGGGAGACCTACAGCCATCTTCCCCAGGCTGCCTCACTAAAGCAGCAAAGCCAGGCTAACTCCAGCTACAGGGGATATTCCCAGGACCCTTCGAGCCACGCGTTGGGTGGGAGGTGGCAAGGCCACAGGCGCTGTTAGTCAATTCTGTTCTCCAGGACAGCCAGCCGCTTGCTTACAGCTTCTAGTAGACTTGGAGTTAAGGGCCTGTGCCGGTGGCTGGAGCTGGGAGGGATGGTTTCCTGTCCCCCCTCCCCCAGGAGCTACATCCAGGACTTTTTCTCCCTCCCTCCCTCCCTCCCCCTTTGCCAAGAATACTCAGCTGTGATCATTCAGGCTCAGTCCTACCATGAGCCATCTGAGACTGGGAGCTATCAGGTTATGGTCCACCTCTAAATGAGGGCTGGGGTTCACCATGTCACTGGGTGCCTTAGAAATGAGCCAATGAGCTCCATTGGCGGGGGGGGGGGGGGGGAAGCATATCCAGAACTCTATTGTGAGGCATGTGAACCATGCGACCAGGAGAGCCAGCCCAGAGGAAGAGTAAGGTTGAGATGTGTCCAAATCCTGAAAATCTCATCTTGAGATCGGCCCTCACCACTGGACAGAGATCCTGCTGGCATACCCGCCTGCCTAAGCACCATGTCCTCCATCCAGCCCAGTCCATCTGGACGCCCCGAGGGAAGGGCGGACCTGGACCAGCACTCTGTCTGTGTCCCATCCCTAGAACTTGGCTTCTGCCTCAGTTTCTCTGCCTTGTAGGAGCCTCTGAGCTTGACAAGGTCTATTACCAGGCAGATGCCAGCCTCTCCAGACAGAAGCCCAGCCTTAGAAGGAGAAGGCTGCCCCAAGCTTTAGGCTACATCTAAAGCCAGACCCCTTTCTATAGTCATGCCCCAGAAGCCTGGCCCTTTGTGCTTCTCCACAGCCTGAGGAAGGATATGCTTCCTGGTCAGGGCTTGCAACAGGCCTTCCACCTTGGCCTCAAATCCCAGTATGGACTCACAGGCACATGGATCTTCCTCTGCAGTGGAGAGAAGGGAAAGAGAGGAGAACACTGCTGAGCCATGGGAGGGAGGCAGCCAGTCATTGCTGGGGCTGACACATGGATATGGTGGGGAGGGAGGATCTGGAAGCACAGAAGGAAGAATAGCAGGAGGACGTCAGTGTCTCTACATAGCACACACAGGAGTGGTGAGGAGTGAGCTTAGAATGTCCTCACAGCCCTGATAGGGAAGTGGGTTGAGCACCTGCTATGTGGGGCTACGCAAGCCGTCTTAGCGGAAGGCACATCTGGCTCTGACATCTGGAGTGTGTGTGTGTGTGTGTGTGTGTGTGTGTGTGTGTGTGTGTGT